GCTATAATTGGTTTTTCTAGTTACATACTTTTGAAAGATAATCAGGCTGAAGTCATTCCCAATAATGTTTACAAGTTTAAGCCAACTTGTTTTAAGAGTGAAACAGACCACCTCCTAAATTAATTAATTATATAGTCATATTGCCAACAAAATATTGTGTGTGAGTGTGTGTGTGTGTGTGTGTGTGTGTGTGTGTGTGTGTGTGTGTGCACAGTTTGTGACTTTTCTCATGCCCAAAGCTACAGAAACTTAGATATGATCAGTGATAATCTAATTGATAAACTTCCAGTTAAAATAGTATTGGTGTCTCATGGTTTACTCCAAATACAGATGGCTGGTGTAGAGAGAAATTAAAATGATATACCAACAGCAAATCCATGAGAACAGCTATACAAGCTTGCAAAGGACTAGAGTATGATATGATGAGAAATCTGGCCCTTGGAGCCTCTTTGCTCACTAGAGGTTCGATGTAGTTATAGCAGATGAGAGTTCAGTTCCTGTTTGACAGAGAAAGGAAAACAGGAAGGGAAGGACAGTAGAAGAGAGAAAGAAATAGAGAATACTATACTTCCTTAAAATTGCACCTAAAAGTTGAAATTGCAAAGCCCAAAAAGAAAGACATCCAGTACTGATGAAAATAGTAAACAGATTCAATATTTGCAAGATGAACTTACTCCAGGGGAAATTAAAACACACACCAAAAAAGCTGAAAAAAACTGAGGTTATTAGCATCTTTGGAGACAGAAATTAATGGTACCCATATACATAACTGGAAGTTATGAAACAGAAATAGGAAGAAATGGAGTAAGAATGGTTGAATGTTGCAAAGAAACAATTAGAACACTAGAAACAAAAAGTCAGTGAAACAAGGATAAGTTATGGAAGAAATGTTGGCCCTCACCACTTCCTGTCTACTGAGAGCAAGCAGCTTCTACTATGTATGTGCTCCTATGGACACAATGCTCTCTCTCACCACCATCCCAGAAGCAATAGCACCAAAGACCATGAACTCAAACCCCTGAAACTGCAAGTCAGAATGAACCCTAAAGTCTATGCTCTTGAAGTTACAAATGAGAGTGAGGACTCTATGACTTTGTGGCAAAGACCTTGTTTACATTTGTTCATGACCTGAGACAACATGGAGGCAGAATTTTATAGTGAAGGTCTGAGTTGGCCATGGGGATTCACACCTGCAATTGCAGCACTTGGGGGAGTGGATTGTGAGTTTGAGGCCAGCCTGAACTACAGAATGAGAACTTGTCTTCAAAACAAGACAAAATCCCTTTAAGTGTGCAGAACAACTTGAAATATAGACCAGGCTTATAAGGAGTAAAGGAAAGCCTGAGCTAAAAACAAGTTAATGTGCAGTCTAGAATGTTGATCCAGTATTAAAGTCAGAGCTTGTATGGGTGCAGTTGCCAAGCCCAGCAACCTAGACTCCTTGACTTAATAGTTTTTGCCTATCAAGTTGATAAGCCCCAGGACACCATGAGGGTAAGGAATAAAATGGAGAACCCATGCAAAGCCAGAATCTACTTTAATGAAAATTCAAAATTATGAAAACTAAATAGCCATCCCATAAACTTGGATGTATTAGTTTTGTCTCTGAAAGGATAGACTTCTCTTGTGAGAGGGAAGGCCCTTTTGACAACCTTAAAACAGACAAGCCTAGTATGATGGTGTGTGTCTGGGATACCACCCAGCATTTGAAATACTAAAGCAGTAGGGTTGTCATTTTCAAATTTATTGACAAATGTCACTACAAACTTACATTCATTTTAATGACTTCTATTTTCAAGATTGTCTTTTAAATTCCCAGCATCGGTGATTTGTGCTCTTCCTTTAGGCTTTCTCAAAGACATGTTAATTTGATTAGACTTTTGAAGAAACAGATGTTTTTATCTTCCAGCTTATTCATTTCTGCCATCCCCTTTCTTTCTTTCTTCCTTTCTTTCTTTCTTTCTTTCTTTCTTTCTTTCCATTTCTGCCATCCCCTTTCTTTCTTTCTTTCTTTCTTTCTTTCTTTCTTCCTTCCTTCCTTCCTTCCTTCCTTCCTTCCTTTCTTTCTTTCTTTCTTTCTCCTTCTACTTTTTCCCTTTAGTTGCTTTTTTTAACGTCTTGAAGTAGATACTAAGATTTTTAAAGTCAATCATTATTTTTTAAATATGTGTTTAAAGCTATTGATTTTCTTCTAATCAGTTTTAGGTGTATGCTACACGTTTTGAAGTTTCGTTTTTTACTAATCTGCATTTTAAAATACTAACTACAATTCTTTCTATTACTATTTTTATATATAATTTCCCAGACATTTTTCTCTGTGTGAAATCATATATGCTCCTGGGTAGTTTAGAAGACTATTGCATGCTTTAGATATATTTAGGTCTTGTCTAACTCGCTTTCAGTTTGGTCAGAAAACTTACTATATTAGTGATCTCAGGCTATAAGAACAAAGTACCATTGTGAATGTGACTTTAAAAATAGAGCTTTATTTTCCCTTTGGCTAGGAAGTGAAAGGTGAAAGCCCTGTAGGGTCTGGTTTATGGAGAACACTCTCTGCCTGGCCTTTTGATCCTGGATTTCTCCCAGTGTCTGCAGATGGTGGGGAGAGAGGTACCTTGTGACTACCCTCACCCTAACTAATTACTTCTGAAAGGCCTCATAGCAGACATTTGGAAGACAGTGCTTCAACATGTAAATCTTGGTGGAACACAAATATCTAAGATGCTTCTATGCAGTTGTGATTTTATGCAGGACTTAGAATAGATATTCAAATGTAGAATTCTTTTCCTTCTGAGTCTTTGTGCCCGGGTTTTTGTAAACTTCATAGTAACCATTAAAATATTCATTTCAATTCTATTTTGTTACTTTGGAAAATTAAACAGGATTCACTATTCCTTGAACCATTGTAGGGATTCCATGGCTAACCTAATAGAGTCTAGTCCTTTTCTTGAATGAACATTTTGCTGTTTCCTGGAAACCTATTTCAAAGATATTTCCAAATAAATCATTAAATAGAAATCCATTTTTTCTGTACCTAGAAGCTCATGGTACATGTGCATTATTCCAACAATTTAATAAATATCAGAAGCAACTGCCTTGCTAAAAGAAGATGTTTATTTTGATACGCAGTCTAGAAGTCCTACATTGATAGGCACCATTGCTTTGGCCCTGTGAGGGCTCAGTGCATCATGCTAGGAGAATATGGTAGGAGAAGCCAAATGACCTCACAGTGGTAAAAGAAAGGGAGGGCAAGGGGCTGGAGTCCCACCACCCCTCCCAAGACATGCCCCCAGGACCTAAAGCTTCCCACTGGACCCCAACCCTCAAAGGTTCTGAAACCTGTTAATAGAACCAAGCTGGGGCCCAAACCTTTAACACATGGACATTCCAACCTGCTTCTTATTCTACTGTTACGCTTTGATTGTTAGTTCTTCACTAGCAAACTTTCTTTCATAAATACAATTTTTGTTCTTTGTACCTTGTCATGAGTGCTACTGTTTCTTTTTCATTTTCATCATAGAAAAGTAAACATGTTTATTATAGAAACTGAGAAATGAGAAAATTGAAGATTACTTTTAAATATGTATGGTTTTTATTTTTAAGTGAACTTGCCTGGTGATGAATGCCTTCTCTGATGAATGTAATAAAAGTCAGAAAAATACAAAAACCAAAAATACTTTTACTCAGACCTCAGTGGTGGTTGTGTGCTTATCCGGTGTGTGAGAGGCTTTTGGTTCAACAATACAATCAAACACACACACACACACACACACACACACACACACACACACACACACAATCAGTCCATGTACTGTGTGTAATTACTGTATGTCCACTTTAACAATGTGGTTAGCAATGCTGCACCACAAGTTTGTCCCTCACTACTTAAATGTGTATGACATTATTCCACTTTGTAAAGTTCATTATTTTCATTTTTTTCCTTACAAAAGTCTCTGGAACCAGCATCTTTTTTAACATATGTCTTAAGCATTTTTAAATTGTTCATTCCTCTGTGGTAACTAGTTAAGAATTCGTGTTCCCTAAAAAAAATCAAATGTCCACAAGTAAAATAACCATAACAACATTTCACTAATCAGATGGGCAAAGAGTTTTAAAATGGCATTCCCCAGCACTTCAGGAAATGGGGTGTGTAAGCTTCGGGTGGGGGTGTATACTGCAAGTCTTCCTGAAGTGACTTGGAAATATGAATCTAATGCAGCTGCTGTAGTTTTCATTTTTCCAGCTGTTTCATGAGGAAACTTGATTTTTCCAAGATCTTATTAGAAAGGAATCGCATTATATATATGCTGCAAATCCAATCCTAACATAAAGGAATTTTTCTCAAGAATACTACAAATAATGAATCCAGGTGCCCCGAAGACTTCCTGAAATGTGTTTGTAAGCATTTAAAACCTCCTTTGGCACCTCTATAAATCATCTTTGCCTTGGGTCTCAAAAGCAAGTCAAGGTTTTATTTTTGATGGATAGTGGTGGCAGGGTAGGATGGGGGAAACAATCTGCTCCCTGTCACTCAGGATCGTCCCAGACAAGTGAAACCTTTAACCACTTCCCTAGCATTTCTTCCCTGTAAATGTCGTGTTTCTGTGTTTTAATCATATATTCATGGCAATGCCACAGTGTGAAGCCTGTACAGAGTAATAAGATCTAGAGCAGTGGTTCTCAACCTTCCTAATGCTGTTACCCTTTTACAGTTCCTTACATAGTGGTGACCCCCAACAATAAAATGATTTTGTTGGTGCTTCACAACTGTAATTTTGCTACTGTTATGAATTGTGGTATAAATATCTGCTATGCAGGATGTTTGATATGTGACTCCCAAAGAGGCCACGACCCACAGGTTGAGAATTGTTCTTCTAGAGGTCTACAGAGGGGCTTGAGATGAGCATGAGATGGTCTGTGCTTGTTGTGTTTTGCCTCGTTTGAAGGGTCACCTTTTCCCAGTTGCTTTTGCCTTTTTCCCCACCTGGCTTTTGATACAGATGGCATGTGGGCTCTTGGGGACCCTGCTCAGCTACCTGTGGTGTTGGAATCCAGACCCGAGATGTATACTGCCTACATCCTGAGGACTCTCCAGCCCCTCTGGAGGAATGCAGAGATGACAAGCCTCATGCCTTACAAGCATGCAATCAGTTTGATTGCCCTCCTAGCTGGCATATTGAAGAGTGGCAGCAGGTAGAGAAGCCTGGCATCCCATGACCCATTCTACTTATGACAATGGTGGGAACCCTGCTTTGCATCAAAAGAAAGTAAGACCACTGCTTCACAGTCACTTTTCTTAGTGTTCCAGGACATGTGGTGGGGGAACTCAGAACCGGAGAGTCACCTGTCGACAGCTGCTAACAGATGGAAGCTTTTTGAATTTGTCAGATGAGTTGTGCCAAGGACCCAAGGCATCATCTCATAAGTCCTGTGCCAGGACAGACTGCCCTCCACAGCTGACTGCTGGAGACTGGTCAAAGGTAAGAGCCATTCTTAACCCCTTCCTCTCTGCTCCTCCTTTGTTTCAGCTGCTAAATATTTCCCGAAGAAGTTCAGACCTGCACTAGTGAGAAACTGGCATATAGCCAGGGCATGGTCACTCAGAAGCCAGTTGTGAGCCTGGTAAGTACATGAAAGATGCTCTCCTGCTCAAATTCTCATTCTTGTTCACTCTCTAGCTCTGTTTCTCTCTCTGTGTGTTTGTGTCTCTCCCATGCACACAATCTATGGAAGAAATCTTCAGTTTATACTTAAAATGGACTTGCCCTCAAGAAGTTTCAATTTTTGGATTCTTATTATTTCAAAAATTTTCAATGATTTAAAAAAATTTAAGTGTATGTGTGTGGGATGTGTGTGTGTATGTGTGCAGGTTTCTACAGAGCCAGAGGTGTCAGATACAGTGGGTGGAGTTACCAACATCAGCAAGCCATCTAACATGGGTGCTGGGAACAGAACTTGGGTCCTCAGCAAGAGCAGTATGCCCTCTTAACTGCCTAGCAGTCTCTTACCCTGCCCCCAACTTCTTGACTCTTTATTACAATGTCTAAGAAATTTGGTTAGGCTTCTCTTTTGCATTTTTAATCTTTACCTTTATAATTGGTATTTGGTAGAGCCAAGGATATAGATGACTTTTGCATTTATAATCTTTACCTTTATAATTGGTATTTGGTAGAGCCAAGGATATAGATGATACCTGGATTCAGATTATTCTCCCAATGTTATCCTAAGGATAGGTTGGCATTGACCCATCCTGCATTAACTATTTATAATATGACAAGTATTAGCTTGTAATTGCTCATTCTAAATTGAATAGTCCTATTTTCATAGCCTTACATGCTTGGTCACTCAAACAACAGACATTTACTGAACACGGCTGTATTGATTGCTAGAGGCACCAGGAAATGGACACAACCAAAATCACAATTTTAAATGAATAAATACTTTAAGAAGGCACAGAGATGAAACAGGACTCATAATCATGTAGGGGGAATCCATCATAGGTGCCACATGTACATACCTATGAGAAATAAGGAAACCTCTATTCCTACTTCAGTACCGGGAAAGGCTTTAGAAGATGTGGCTTTAATATTGAGTTTGAAGAAATGAGGGCAGTCTCTGTGGAAATGAGATCAAAGGGTGGTAGGTGACTTTTGAGTTTATAAGTCTCGTGGGGCTCTAGAACAGGACCCATTAAGGAAGTAGTGGGAGCTGAGGTGTCAAGGTTGTAACCAGATGGAATATGATTATTCATGTGTATCCCACAGTCCTCAAAAGTATGGCAGAAACATCTGAATATTCAGAAGCTAAGACAATCTGGAAGCCTGGGTCATGTGTTCAAGTAAGAAGAGAAGACATAGAAGTTAGAGGTTGGATTCCAACTACTGGGAGATAATGAAGCTGTTTAGAGAATAGTATACAGTGTTTTTCTAATTAATAAGACATGATTCACTTAGATAATGTTCTATACAGCTTGTAACACACTTAAAACTAGTACAACTGGAGATGTTTATGTAAACACCACAAGTCAAGTCAAATACTAAATGAGAGTCTTACAAATTACTTACTCTGGGGCTGGGAGGAGTTAATGGAAGAAGTCAGGTGTGAATGTGATCAAAAACATTGTGTGAAACTCTCAACAAATTAATAAAAATATTTTTAATATAATTTTGAAAGAGACTTGGGAAATATAACAGACACATTTGACCATTAACTTGGCAGTAAATTAGCAAAAAGGTTCTATAGCTCTGTCCTAGGAAGCTAATGGACAGTGTGGAACTGATTATAAAGTTATCGAGAAAAGGAAAAACATTCAAAAGGTGATGTAAAAGGGAAAGAAAATGGGTTTGTTTTGAAACACATACAACTTGAGCATCTGTAAAGGTCTTGATAAAAAAATCACAACCTAGGTGAGATCTGTGCCAAAGTTGTGAATGTAGGACTCATCAATCTGTAAGTGGTAGTTGCAGTCATAGATGATAGATACCATGACATCTAAATGTATAGTGTCAGCAGTTCCTTTTAAATAATTAATAGTTTCTGAAGAAGCAAAGTTATGGTAGCAGCATTTGGATATATATATATTCTCTAACCCCTCATTGAAAAAAAGAACATGCAATAAAAATAATACAATTAGAATTGCAATGGGAAAGGGACACGGGTAATTTTAATATAAGTGAAACAAAGGGCAAAGGCCAAACTAATAGCAGAAACTACAAACTCAGCCACTGAATGATGAGAAGGAAGAGACAAAATAGGGCCAAGAGCCATGGAACATGGAAACCAACATCGAATATCCAGACAAAGAAAGGATCCAACTCTGATTAGAACCCTGCAAAAAGTGAGTAGAGATCAATCAGTGAACCCAGGAGAGGGGTATGAATGAATAATGACCACATGGGCTTCCCACAGACCTTCAGAGAATGTGCTGGCAACTCCCATCAGAGAGAATGACATGGGATGAGGGGTAAGAGAATGCTCATTTCTTTGATAGCATCCAGAGAATACAAACCTCAAAACTGTGGCTAAACTGTGGACTGCATTTTAACACAAGAGAGCAAAAGATGGAGTTCTCATCACGAAGGTAATAAATATTCTGAAATACTCTATTACCTCACACCCCTGTTCTCTACAAGCATGGAGCTAACTATTAAATTATATGGGAGCATCAACAAGCTGCAAAGATTACTATGAGGTAATAGTATTGGTGGCACAGCAGCATAATAAAAATTTAATAAATTTGAAAAAACTTAATACTACAAAATGAGCTGAAAGAAACTAAGAAAACTACAGAAACAAATGAAAATATAAAATCTAATGAAAATGATAAATAAAAATAGTGTTGCAAAAAGATAGTTAACAGGATCCAGGAAAGAACCAAAAAACTAAGGGTAAGTTTCTTTTTCAAAATCTAGTCTAAAGTGGAAAGAACTAAGGACTGACTAGACTTAGATAATGTAATTAAAGAGATGTGCAAAGAATTAAACAGAAAAAAATGATTCAGGTGAAAATAATAGATATAAAAAGTAGAGAAAAATAGTCTAATGAATGTGAAGTCCCAAGAAAGAGAATCACCTGATAATGGAATAGGACAAAAGGCTTAAATTACCACATTGAAAGAGTACTCCCCGCACCTGGAAAACCTGGGTGTAATGACAACAACTGAAAATGATCATCATCATGACATATTTTACTAAAATGACTGCATTTTAAAGATAAAATTTTTTGCACCTGGACAGGAGAATCAAGTTGCTTATTAGAGAAAGAAGATCATACTATCACCAGATATTTCAACAATACTGCTTCGTACTGGAAAATAATAGAGAACCATAATTAAGATCCTAAAGGAATTAATATATGAGTGTGTAGTAATATATTATTTATGACTTATTAGAGTTTGTCTAAGAAAGCAAAGTCAGCCACAAGCTATAGAAGTCAGGCACACACCTTTAATCTCAGCAGCCAGAAGCTAGGGGGTGGTGGTATACACCTTTAATCCTAGGACTCAGAATTAAGAAGTAGGCATTTCCCTGTGAGGCCATCCATATATACACAAGAGTGAGTAGGTCTAAAAGAGAGTTATAGCTCACACCTTTAATCCTAACATTAGGAAAGTATATAAGACAGAAAGATCTCAGAGAGGCATTAGCTCTCCAGGCACACCGAGGAGAGTCAGCAGTTTGAGACTTGGTGAAAAACTTGTGTGTGGATCAGCCCTTTCAGCCTGAGCTAGAGGTGAGAGATAGTAGCTGGCTGCTTTGTTTTTGATGTTCAGCTTGAAGTTTGAACCCAAATATCAGTCTCTGGGTCTTTTATTCATTCATGTTACAAATTAGCACCCAATGTGGGACATGAACCCATAACACTGAGATTAAGAGAGACTCATGTTCTACTGACTGAGCTAGCAGGTCCCAGCTGACCTTCAAATTGAAAGGACTTAGATAAACATTTTCAGGTCTTCCCGAGGAACCTGCCAGACATCTTCAATGAAATCCCAGAAGTTTCAGCACAATGTTGAGGCCATGTGTGTGACAATTGAGGGCACAGATTATGTCACCTCTCCCACAGTACTGAACTTTCTGTAAGTCTTCTACCCAGCAAAAGAACTTGCAAATGATACTACTGTACAAAATGGAGGGGGGAATTCAAGCATACCTCCATCATTAGAGATGTCTCAGAAAAAAAGTCTGATAGTTATTTAACCACTGTATTAAATAAACAAAATTAGTTCTGTGCTATTTAGTAAAACATTGTTTACATTTATTATATGGAAATTCTAGTTGTTTATTTCTGCTAACATGAAAATAATAGCATTTAAAAATCTCATTCTACTCCTTTGGAATTCAACCATAAACCACAAAGATAACTTATAAAAGAGGCACTCCAGAACAATGAAATGGCTGCAACCCCAACTGTAAGTTATGAAACACACCTGCCAAACACCAAAAAATCTGCATCAAAGTGAGAAGGAAAGTTTAGTGATGACAAATATTTCCCTGGGCACCAAAAGGGACATAGATTTCTACAGGAGTAAGTGTGGCCGACCTCAAAGGCCTACACAAACTTCTTTGATTAGAGAGATGTTGGATTAAGGACTATGTGCTGTCCTTGAGATCAATGGAGACCCTTGCAGAACTGTGGATCAGCAAGGGCTCGGGGAGAAACCACATTTCTATGCCTCCCTGTGGAGGAAGGATGCCAAAGGTAAAGTGGAGTGAAGGGAGAAATGAAGGCAGAAATGAATTATTACAATGCATCACATAATTTAAAACTTCCTTTCCTGGTCCCAGCAACCATTCAAATGCTGTCTATTTGAATAGAGTTGTGGCTAAAGGAAACAAATGATTTGATGATAGGGTCTTGAAGACAAGCATGGCAAATGTATTGGCTCATCCTCAACATTTGTTCTGTTCATCAGCAGTTGGATGCTTTCAGAGCACCAGTGTGAAATTTGTGCATCCATGAGAATTTGAAGTAGAAAGAC